TTCCTTAGAAACCTCCAGCGATGTGACGACTCCACAGATGCCGACGGGGGGGAATGGTGGGAGTTGAAGTCCACCCATCTTTAGTTGCCGAGATTGAGAAAACCTGGAGTAATTATCGTGCAATGCTCCAAGCTAAGTTAACGTACTCCACTCCTCCACATTCTCTCTGCCTCCTGGCTTGAAATTTGGGGCCTGGACAATCTGGAACTGCGCTGCCTGTAGTACGACCTAAGCATAGTTCACAAAATTGTCTGCTATAACATCTTGCCTGTCAATGACTTCTTCAGCCTCAATCACAATAATACACGGGCAAACGATTGATACAAACTCAAGGTAAACCGCTCCCAACTCGATTGCAGAAAATACAACTTCAGCAACAGCGTGGTCAACACCTGGAATGCTCTACCTGACTCCATTGTTGCAGCTTCAAACCCTCACAGCTTCAACCTCAAACTGTCCACCGTGGACCTCACCCCATACCTAAGAAGTCCTTAAAGGGGGCGTGCATAAGTGCACCAGTGTGCCTACCGTCCTTGTCCTACTGTCCTCATTTATCTGTATTTACTCCCTTTGTTCTTGTTTATGCTCATACTTATACTTGTTAATTTGCACATGTTTGACAAACAAACAAACAGGCAGGTGGATGTTCGCGCTAATAAACCAGGATCCTTCCTGCGATTCTTCTGCTCCCAATTTTCCTTACCACTGACTTTCCTCGTGATGCCGCTTGGAAACTGGTGGGTGTGGTCGTCTCCTCACATACACTTCAGTGTCAGCAGTCTCCTGCACGGCTTGCTCTGCAGGCCAATGGAGAAAAAAGAAACCAAGATCAAAGAGATTCACTGAGATTCACACTCGGCCATCTCAAGAACACAAGATCCACAGGTTTAACACGCTACATCCCTAAGTGCTAAGCTGCTCAGGAAAGAAGAAAGATGCTTGCAAGGTATTGGATATTTGTTTTACATACCAGCTCACATGCATGTATTTCAAAAATATTTGAAATATTTAAATAGTTTGGGGTTGTGGTTAAGGCACCAGGCTAGCAACCAGGAGGCAGTGAGTTCTAGTTCTGCCTTAGGCACGAAAGCCAGCTGGGCAACTTTGGACCAATCACCAGGTGACGGTGAGTTCTAGTCCGACCTTAGGCATGAAAGCTGGCTGGGTGACTTTGAGCCAATCACCAGGAGATGGTGAATTCTAGTTCTGACTTAGCAATGAAAGCCAGCTGGGTGTCTTTGGGCCAATCACCAGGAGACGGTGAGTTCTAGTCCTTCCTTACTGGATGGCTTCAGGTCCATCCCCCTCCCTCAGCCCAACTCATGTCACAGGGTTGTTGTTGTGGGGAAAATGGGAGGGATAAGGGGTATTGGGCATGTTCAATGTCTTGAGTTACTTATGAAGTAATACAGAGGGATAAACATCTATCAACAAATACAATAAATATAGCTTTAATCCTCAGATCACTGGTTCAGTGACCCCCTATTATAATTCCACCATCATCCAAAGATATACGAACCCAGATGGGCAGAAGATGGAAGGGAGAAGGTTTCCATAAGATGTTATCAGTGCTCAGTGAAAATGGATTAACTGATTAAGAGATGCTTTCCTTGGTATATTTCCATATTCCCAGTTTACTAGACTACTCCATGTTATTCTAGTCTAATTTTTTTATTATAGTCCGTTCACATTTATTGGAATAACGTTCTCTATAGTCTGTTCATTATTTATTAGAATAACATAATAGAAAGACTTTACAAACCGCTTTCCCAGGTCTTTCTATTATGTTACTCCAATAAATACTGCATTCCTTCTATTATGAGGCACAGTCACAATTCCTATCCAAAACAATGGTGGGAAATTTTACACAGTTTTTTTTTTAAAAAAAACAATTGGTCTTTTTTTTTTCACGGGAAGAAAAACCAGGAAGTGGCAGGCAAAGTTCAACCAGAATGAAAAATTAATGATTGTGGAACACTGCTGCTGGCTAACATCCTCCTCAAAATTGATTAATTCAGGGGGTGATGAACTGAGGTCATTGTTGAGAATGGCCTTGAGATTAAGGATGGCCCAAAATATCACTGCTTATTTACACCAGATCAGCATTAGATTTAAATTCTGTTAATCCTGTAATCATTTATAGGGAGAATTGTTGCAATCCAGTAAACCATAATAAGAAGGTAGCTCAAGTGTGTTTAAAGATTTGCTGAGCCTCACAAACACACCTTATTTCAATAACCCACTCCTGAAAATCCAGGATCGGAGATTTGTTTAATACATAAATACATATTTTTTTCTCAACCAGATGCAGTTTTCGGATGCGATGGCTTCCCCATAACACAATCCACCACTGGTTATGCAGATAAAATCCCACCCATCTGGAAAACCGGGAAAAACAGCGCAAGCATCACTCTTTTCCCAATTCCAGTGGCCTCTTGCTTTGTCTTGGATTCTGAGTCCCATCTTCCTAGCCACAAATGTCAATGGAGAATGGTATTATAGTCCAAAATTAGGAGGGAGCCAAGCTGAGCAAATGATACATTTTCTAGACATGCAAATGGACTCGATGATTCTTTGACCACCCATGAAATTTGGGTTGCCAACAAGAACTCACCAATCTCATCCAGGATATTCTGCTGAGCTGTATGGTGAGCTTTCTCCTGTTTGTTTAAAAAAAGAGAAGGTGAGAAAGGGAGAAGAAAGACACACGTGAATTGGAGGCTTTAGAATATAGGATCATAGAGCTGGAAGGGGCCTTGGAGGTCTTCTAGTCCAGCCCCCTGCTCAAGCAGGACCCTTAAGCCATTCCAGTCAAATGGCTGTCAGTCTATTTTTGAAAGCCTCCAGTGATGGAGCAGCCACAATTCCAAGAGCCCAGCTATGCCATTGATTAATTGTTCTTATTGTCTGAAAGTTTATCCTTACTTCTAGGCTGGGTGTCTCTTTAACAAGCTTCCACTGAGACTTTTTGTCCTGATGTCCTTAACCTAGGCTGTTCTAGATTAGAGAGAGGGGGGAAGAGAGGGAGGGAGGGAAAGAGAGAGAGAGAAAAACAGAGAGAGGGAAAGAGAGGGAGAGAGAAACAGACAGAGGCAGAGAGAGAGAGGGAGGGAAAGAGAGAGAGAAAAAAACAGAGAGAGGGAAAGAGAGAGAGAGGGAGGGAAAGAGAGAGAGAAATAGAGGCAGAGAGAG